CTAGAATATGGGAGAAAAAAAACCTACAGTTGGGAAATGACAGAAGAAACTCAACCGTTGGTTTAAATTACTGGGTCAAACAATCAAGACTAGCACCCTCGGGTTAAGATTTCGTTGTAGGTAGCGAGATAATTCATTGCTATCGTATTGGGAAAGGTATGGTGGTTGCATCCATCCCGGCTTACACCCTAATGTGATATTTGTCAGTAAAGATTATATACAGAACTGATAACAAATAGTCACTCCTTCTAGTGTTGTTCTTTTCAATGTTTATTTCTTTATCAAAATGTCCAATTATGAAGGAAAGTGAAGTTGTTTTCTGAATCAATTTATTTACTTTTGCGTAAATTTGCGTTTGAAAATTGTTGACGGTTGACGTATCAAACGTAAACACACTCGAAGGTCAGTGCTGTGCTTACACTGATTTTGTTTTTATACTGTTTTAAACAAACTAGTCAATGATTTCTTGTTGATCGCTCATGCAAAAACTATGTAAATCATCTCATACATGTCAAACATATTTGATATTCAACATCCTCTATATCTCACAAATTGTAGGTTATTGGTAAAAAAACGTTTATGAATTGTATCGTCCGTTTTACTTGATCTAAGTTCTTTCAAGATCCAAGAGTATAGGTAATTGTAAACATGATGCTCGCTTGTTCGTGGTAGTGTTCCAAGGAAACACGTGCACGCTATTGTTATGATGAAAAGCCCCTGTCCGATACCTCAGACGTAGATTTTGAAGCATTACTATTTCTTCTTCAGGGTTAAAAGAGACATTAACAATAAATAAAACACGCAGTTAACTGCGATTGAAAGATCTATAGCATGTAGACGCTTGAAAAGCAAACACGTGGTGAAACGGTAATGATAACATCACGGTAATTGAACCGATAGTGACTTTATACACGATATATCATCGTGTAAATAGCAGCATTGGAAAAGTATGTATCTAAGGCGCTGCTATATATACATACTCCCTATAAACGATATCTTGTAGTGTATGTACAGTTATTTTAGACGTAAATGATCGATATATGGCCAAGAGTGCTTATCAAGTCCATCGCAGAGAAGACATTATCCTAAGTTCGGGTATCTCATGTCGAATTATGGTTCTTATGTGAGCATCTAATTGTACCTAGAATGCGGTCTATATTGCTATGTTATATATCTTTACCTAATCTGTGTCTACCTAGATTATACAGCAGCGTGTTCTTAAACGATTTAGAAAATTAAAACATAGTGGGTTTTTTTATTGAAATTTGGAAGATTTTCCTAATTATTTTTCCTCATTTTCGGAATATATATCTAGTACTTTAGTAAGGTAAGAAGCTGTGTTCCGCTGTAAAACTAGGAGAGTAATCACCGTTAATTCGTTGTATCTATGCATGTCCAATCTGTATGTTATATACCTGGTATATACTATATATACGGTATCGTCATACTATCAATGTTCTCTTTAATAGAACCTATGCTTGTTCAAAAACCCTCAGCTAGGAGTGGAACCAGTGACTGCAGTCTACCAATTCAGTGCTGAAATTAAGACGATATGTATTGTTGTTTTTATTTCCTGAACGCTATTTGCGGCCTCGTCTTTGTTCATTTTCTATTGATATACACGCATTCTGTAACATTCATCTGCAAAGGCAGACTGGGTATTCGAAATGAAGCATGGATATATTGTAAACGTGTAGGAAGATTTTTTGGACATATAGACGAATATCTGTAGCCGTGTCCGGGCATTATGTAAGGTTTTGAATAAATATTTGTTTCCCCTTTTTCAGAATTATCAACGTTTGAAAAACGTCTCGATGACATTTCAACAGACAATTCTAGTGGTTGATACAAAAAACACTAAAAGAATATTTACTTTTCTCGTAATATTCTGATGCCTAAATGTATTACAATGTATATAATACATTAATCACAGTAGTAGTTGCTGGTAACCAATCACAATCTCACAGTTGGCTTTAATGCCAGTTATTTGTTTTTTGGTTTATGAGACTTCCACATTGTGAATGTCTCCAACTTTCTGTTTAAATATGCTAATCCTTAACTTCTTTAAAACCCCAATGTTGTAGCGATTACACTATCCGTGAGATCGAGGAATCTTTAAGGTTAGAACGATCATGTGCCACTTGGATTTACTTATTACACCCTGTAATACCGCTTGGACGATATCTTTCGATAACTTGGAACATTACTTATGGTATCCATATTTGCACAACACACACTATCTCGTGATAGTTTTCGCATGTTGCCCATAGCATCTAAAAAACAGTCCGTTGTCTACTGCCATAGCAGAAACAGTTTGTAGTAAACCTTTTTACTGCCATAGCAGAAATCATTTGTCGACATTTGTACAATCATGCTGGCCTTACGTCATATCAGAAATCATTTGTCGACATTTGTACAATCCTGCTTGTCCTACACATAACAGAAATGATTTGTCGACATTTCTACAATCCTGCTTGTCCTAGACATAACAGAACTGATTTGTCGACATTTCTACATCCCTGCTTGTCCTATACATAACAGAAATGAATTGTCGACATTTCTACAATCCCGCTTGTCCTAGACATAACAGAACTGATTTGTCGACATTTCTACATCCCTGCTTGTCCTATACATAACAGAAATAATTTGTCGCCATTTCTACAATCCTGCTTGTCCTATACATAACAGAAATGATTTGTCGCCATTTCTACAATCCTGCTTGTCCTATACATTACAGAAATGATTTGTCGACATTTCTACAATCCTGCTTGTCCTATACATTACAGAAATGATTTGTCGACATTACTACAATCCTGCTTGTCCTATACATAACAGAAATGATTTGTCGACATTTCTACAATCCTGCTTGTCCTAGACATAACAGAAATGCTTTGTCGACATTTCTACAATCCTGCTGTCCCTACACATAACAGAAATGATTTGTCGACATTTCTACAATCCTGCTTGTCCTATACATAACAGAAATGATTTGTCGACATTTCTACATCCCTGCTTGTCCTATACATAACAGAAATGATTTGTCGACATTTCTACAATCCTGCTTGTCCTATGCATAACAGAAATGATTTGTCGACATTTCTACATCCCTGCTTGTCCTATACATAACAGAAATGATTTGTCGACATTTCTACAATCCTGCTGGCCCTATGACATAACAGAAATGATTTGTCGACAGTTCCACAATCTGTAATTCTACTGGCCTTCGAATCTACAAACAGTCCGTTGCCTTCCAAATACCAGCTGGAAGCACTCCAAGACATTTCCTGCTCTAGCATATTTGCAACATTTAAGTGAGAAAGGTGTAGCATGCAAATTGATGTGTAACAAGGTAATCCATGAAAACTAATGTAACTAAAATCGCATTTTGGTTTGGTACAAGTAAACCATTGACATTCCTTATAAAACAAGTCTATGACCCGCTGTTTACATGTCATAGGCAGGGTAACGTGTTTAACGTACCACCCCCATAACAACGTCCCATTAAAACTGTTCGCTGTTTCAACAGTTACAATAGTTATCAATACAAAAAGCACCCTTATTCAAGTCATTGATAATTGTCCGATGTTCGAGCACATAAGAAAGTGACTTCTGCAACATTGTGGAGGATTGTCTACAAAGTGAATGTTGAAGATAAAAGACGCCAAGAGAAAAATCGTTAACAGTATGCCTGATAGCAAGTGTGAAAGGTGAGTGTTTGGAATAAAGAAAAGTGTTAAGTAAACTGTTGTAGTGAAGTATTCAGTTGGTAGACGTGTTACCGAACCCCGATGATTATTTGATACAATAAAATACGTATAATTCAAACGATATGCATGTGCTAAGACAGATTTGGATTATATTAATTTCTACTTTTGATTTAGCTATGTTCCTTTTGAAGAGAGATGTTTTGGGCAGTTCCGTAGGCTAAATCTAGAGTCACTACACTATTGTTTGTGGCTTATAAGAACCTGTTTACCCGAGTGATCTTCGATTGTTAAAAATCAATCGGATAGCACTTAAATCAATATATCTGATCTCCAATGTAAGGTAAGCAAGATTTACTAGCTATTGTGTAAATGTAAAATTACTGTGACTTTAGGTGGTTTTTGAACGATTTGTTTCCTCAATTGTTATTGAGTGATTTCGAAGAGACTTTGAAATGGTATTAAGCTTACATTAATATAATATTTACAGGATAGCAGCAGCTTTAACATAGCATGACAACTATCACATTCTAGCTGAGAAAGTTAAATTGTGTGCTTTTCATTTTGATTATTATAATTGTGTGTTTGTCGAAAGTTCACATGCACGACATACTTTACCTGAATAATGACAAACCTTAAGTGACCAATAAACCTTTGATAAGTATACCATTATAACCATTATCCGGGGATTACATACAATGACTGAAGGTGTCACTGACGTTTACCATGCATTACTACACATTCTCCAGCTGGTAGTGTATATTGTTACATAACGACATCAATCCCGTTTTATATGTTTAATAAATCATGAATCAAAGAGAATTGCAAAGACAGGTCAATTGACAATTCTTTGCATGGTACTTGGTTCCCTATTCAAGTACAGGTATATTATTTCTTTTTTATCTTATAAAATAAAGTCGATGCCAAAAAACCTGAATATGGTCTGAGAAACGTCTGTACCAGAAGCATTCTCTGTCAGAATCATTGCATACTAAGGTGTTCATGTTGTTTCCTTGATATTGGTTAATGGTGTCGGACTAAGCGAGAATACACCTATTTGATGGAAATATTAAATAAAACAATGTGAAGAGATGTTCTAATATTGGTCGTTAAAAAAACTAGAGACGGTCACGGAATTATTTTCAATTATGTTTCTACTTTTTATTTTATAACGAGCTATACTGCACGCAAAGCCTTAAGCAAACGTTAGAGGAGTTCGGCGTCTTCATACAGTTGACAGGTAATGATTATAAACGCAGCAGGTAATTATCTACTGTTGTAAGATATCTTACTTACCTCAAACCGCAGGCTGTGTTTAGGTGGGGCCGCAAAGGGCACACCCAGGTATTGTTCCACGTGTTCGCCCACGAGGCGGTTGGTAACGACCCCCCGGATCGTTCCGTATAGGGTCTGCCGTGTCACATACTCTCGGTACTCTCCAAATATGACATGATGCCAAAGCACAACACAGGACAAGCACAGTATAAACGGTACTATTTGTGACTTCATACCGGCGAGATCAGGCGGCCAGTCTGGTCTGTCGTTACCTTAGGGTCCACTCAACAGCCGATCATACGCTCAAGTTGGTGGCCGCGTGCATCGTCGTTTCATTTAAGTAAAATGAAATGTGTGTAGTACGGCTGCCACTCGACACTACTCTATCGTGATTTTCGTATTTCCCTCACTGTGATTGCCAGACCGGCTCGATGGCTAGGGCCACCGGTACTGCACTGTCTTCATTGATAAGGGCGAGATCGCAGAGTGAAGACATACAGCGTCCTGACACAGCTTACGCGCCTATACACGTGTACTTTAGGTTGTATACACTCAGAACCATCACCCGTGTGCTATAATCATTATAGGGATGAAGATTCGAGTATTTACCCGATAAATGAAAATCAACCATACTGATTACCCTGGTAATGTCTAAGTGATGGCCACTTGCGGCTATGTTTCTAGAGCTTAGGATGTACCACATAATCAAAACAACTGGAAGAAACGCGTTCACGTAGACTCAGGCTGAACATATTCTATTAACCAATATCTAATTTCTAATCATATTATATTCAAAATGGATATTTACGGGTTAGACATGACAGGAAATAACACTAACGTAGAAAGGCCATTTACTTAAATAGTTATTTATTGCATAAACGTACTTCTTCGAATGTATATTATTATTTTAGAATGTATATTGTTAATTTATACACTAACTTATAACAACGCTATGTTTGATTTTGAATGCATATATTGTTAAATTGTTTTTTATTAATAACATATAATATCACAATTTGGGTATTACCTATCATCGATTCATACTCTAAAAATCTCAGATATTAAAACAAAGTACTTCATCTAAACAGTGCTAAAACAAATTCCTGTAAGAAATGCCCTTCTGTTGCTTGGTATCATTACGCCCTACCATCTTTTTCAACCCATGCAGGCTCCAACTTAATAATCGTAAGAGGCGACTAATGCGCCCCCTCCCCTGATGACTCGGGGAATGTTTCTTACCTCTCTTCTATTCAGAAGACGTTGAAGAAATCAAGAACAGACCTGCTGTACCCCACTGCATGTGTGTTGTGAAAGGCCACTTATGTAGCCCCCTAGCAGAATCGGGGTTTTTCTTCCGTGTCTTCTACGAAGGGGACATGGAAGAGACCAAATTTGATCTGCTGGCTGCCTCCATTGAAACATTTGGGATATTTTTTGTTTCCTATCATTCCTGTCTTCGTTCTTTTCTATCTACTTTCTGCTTCAAGCGGTGTCTCCCTAGGGATCCGTACAAATGACCCTGGCTGTTGCGAGGACATGAAACCCAGATAAAGCAAGCAAACATACATACAAACAAACCGTATTTTTCTTCTCCATAAAAAATAATGTATTGTCATTGTTCACGCCGTAGCTTAGCTATAACACTAAAACAGGTATAACCTAGTGTTGTTAGTCACTTCGGTATATAGCTACAATGGACGTATCCTCGAAATACGTTAGGCTTAGTGTCATTTGGGCTTCAAGAAACCCCCGCCCTGAGAACTTTCTTTAACAATCACGTATTTTCACCATTTTCCTCAATTTCCCCCCACATGGAATCCCCCTGGAAATTTGGAAATCTCCAAGATAGGTTTCTGGATCCGCCACTGATACTGTAAATGTTAAAAAGTATTGCAGAGTGAAAATCTTCTCAACGCGAATATTTCCACATCGCGGACAGTGTAAAGAGGCACAACGCGAATATTTCAACGCGCAAAACATTCCACTTTTACAGAATATATAAAACTTTTTGCATTTATCAATTCTGATGTAACATTTATCCGCAATATGGGCATATGTATTGTATTTTATCGTTATCCTCTTAGTTTAGTATCGTTGTCCACATAATGGGAATGATCGTAGTATAGGTATCAAAGCTATGATTAATGGTTAGTATAATAGAGGTTTTCACTCTGTGTGTTTCACCTACTTTTCTTAGTATCACAGTTATCCTTAATATCACTTTACGCAGTATTGGTACATGTATATATTTACTCTCAGTGTATTATATTTTCACAATGTATACACCTCGATCTAATTTTATATTTTATCAGTTTCAAAAGTCATGATATTATAACGTAGTACCTAAACGTGAGGATGGTGGAGATCGTGATATTATAACGTAGTACCTAAACGTGAGGTTTTTGTAGATTTTAATATTATAACGTAGTACCTAAACGTGAGGATGGTGGAGATCGTGATATTATAACGTAGTACCTAAACGTGAGGATGGTGTAGATTGCGATATTATAGCGTAGTACCTAAACGTGAGAATGGTGTAGATTTTGTTATTATAACGTAGTACCTAAACGTGAGGATGGTGGATATTTTGATATTATAACGTAGTACCTAAATGTGAGGATGGTGTAGATTTTGATATTATAACGTAGTACCTAAACGTGAGGATGGTGCAGATCGTGATATTATAACGTAGTACCTAAATGTTAGGATGGTGGAGATTTTGATATTATAACGTAATACCTAAAGGCGATCAGTGTGGACATTTTGATATTATAACGTAGTACCTAAACGTGAGAATGGTGTAGATTTTGATATTATAACGTAGTACATAAACGTGAAGATGGTGGAGATCGTGATATTATAACGTAGTACCTAAACGTGAGGATGGTGGAGATTTTGATTTTATAGCGTAGTACATCAACGTGAGGATGGTGGAGATTTTGATTTTATAGCATAGTACCTAAACGTGAGGATGGTGGAGATCGTGATATTAAAGCGTAGTACCTAAACGTGAGGATGGTGTAGATCGTGATATTATAACGGAGTACCTAAACGTGAGGATGGTGTAGATTGTGATAATATAACGTAGTACCTAAATGTTAGGATGGTGGAGCTTTTGATATTATAACGTAATACCTAAAGGCGATCAGTGTGGACATTTTGATATTATAAGGTAGTACCTAAACGTGAGAATGGTGTAGATTGTGATATTATAACGTAGTAACTAAACGTGAGGATGGTGTAGATTTTGATTTGATAACGTAGTACCTAAACTGAGGATGGTGTAGATTATGATATTATAACGTAGTACCTAAACGTGAGAATGGGGTAGATTTTGATATTATAACGTAGTAACTAAACGTGAGGATGGTGTAGATTTTGATTTGATAACGTAGTACCTAAACTGAGGATGGTGTAGATTATGATATTATAACGTAGTACCTAAACGTGACGATAGTGTAGATTGTGATATTATAACGTAGTACCTAAATTTTAGGTTGGTGGAGATTTTGATATTATAACGTAATACCTAAACGTGAGGATGGTGTAGATTTTGATTTTATAGCGTAGTACCTCAACGTGAGGATGGAGGCGATTTTGATTTTATAGTGTAGTACCTCAACATGAGAATGGTGTAGATTTTGATTTTATAGTAACGTAGTACCTAAACGTGAGGATGGTGGAGATCGTGATATTAAAGCGTAGTACCTAAACGTGAGGATGGTGTAGATCGTGATATTATAACGTAGTACCTAAACGTGAGAATGGGGTAGATTTTGATATTATAACGTAGTACATAAACGTGAAGATGGTGGAGATCGTGATATTATAACGGAGTACCTAAACGTGAGGTTGGTGTAGATTTTGATATTATAACGTAGTACCTAAATGTGAAGATGGTGGAGATTTTGATATTATAGCGTAGTACCTAAACGTGAGGATGGTGGTGATTTTGATTTTATAGCGTAGTACCTAAACGTTAGGTTGGTGTAGATTTTGATATTATAGCGTAGTACTTAAACGTGAGGATGGAGTAGATTTTGATATTATAACGTAGTACCTAAATGTGAGGATGGTGTAGATTTTGATATTATAGCGTAGTACGTAAACGTGAAGATGGTGGAGATTTTGATTTTATAGCGTCGTACCTCAACGTGAGGATGGTGGAGATTTTGATTTTATAGCATAGTACCTAAACGTGAGGATGGTGGAGATTTTGATTTTATAGCGTAGTACATCAACGTGAGGATGGTGGAGATTTTGATTTTATAGTGTAGTACCTCAACATGAGAATGGTGTAGATTTTGATTATATAGCGTAGTACCTCAACGTGAGGATGGTGGAGATTTTGATTTTATAGCATAGTACCTAAACGTGAGGATGGTGGAGATTTTGATTTTATAGCATAGTACCTAAACGTGAGGATGGTGGAGATCGTGATATTATAGCGTAGTACCTAAACGTGAAGATGGTGGAGATTTTGATTTTATAGCGTAGCCTAAAGGCGATCAGTGTGGACATTTATATATTATAACGTAGTACCTAAACGTGAGAATGGGGTAGATTTTGATATTATAACGTAGTACATAAACGTGAAGATGTTGGAGATCGTGATATTAGAACGTAGTACCTAAACGTGAGGATGGTGTAGGTTGTGATATTATAACGTAGTACCTAAACGTGCGGATGGTGTAGATTGTGATATTATAACGTAGTAACTAAACGTGAGGATGGTATAGATTTTGATTTTATAGCGTAGTACCTAACGTGAGGATGGCGGAGATTTTGATTTTATAGCGTAGTACCTAACGTGAGGATGGTGGAGATTTTGATTTTATAGCATAGTACCTAAACGTGAGGATGGTGGAGATTTTGATTTTATAGCATAGTACCTAAACGTGAGGATGGTGGAGATCGTGATATTATAGCGTAGTACCTAAACGTGAGGATGGTGTAGATCGTGATATTATAACGGAGTACCTAAACGTGAGGTTGGTGTAGATTGTGATATTATAACGTAGTAACTAAACGTGAGGATGGTATAGATTTTGATTTTATAGCGTAGTACCTAACGTGAGGATGGCGGAGATTTTGATTTTATAGCGTAGTACCTAACGTGAGGATGGTGGAGATTTTGATTTTATAGCGTAGTACCTAACGTGAGGATGGCGGAGATTTTGATTTTATAGCGTAGTACCTCAACGTGAGGATGGTGGAGATTTTGATTTTATAGTGTAGTACCTCAACATGAGAATGGTGTAGATTTTGATTTTATAGCGTAGTACCTCAACGTGAGGATGGTGTAGATTTTGATTTTATAGCGTAGTACCTAACGTGAGGATGGTGGAGATTTTGATTTTATAGCGTAGGACCTAAACGTTAGGATGGTGTAGATTTTGATATTATAGCGTAGTACCTAAACGTGAGGATGGTG